TCCCTGGGGCTATAATGTATAGCATGGTGACTGTGTCAGTACTGTATGTATATTTGAAAGTTGCTAAGAAAATGATCTGAAAACTTCTTACCACAGAAGAAAATACTTGTAACTGTGGTGATGGATGTTAACGAGGCTCTTTGTGGTGATCATTTCAGAACATATGCAAATATCAAATCATTATATTACATACAAATATTGTATCATTATGTTGTTCACCTGAAACAATATAATGTTATGTGGCAGTTATATCTCAATTAAAAAAAAGAAGAAATGCAAAAAAATGTGGCACTAGGTAAGGCTGTGAAAAGGGTAATTCTTTATATTGGGTTGGCCAAAAGTTTGTTTTTTTTTCCTGTATGGTGGCTCTAGTAGCACTTAGTTGTCTTTAATGTCATTCGAAACAATTTTGTTAGATTGTATTGTGACAGCTGTCATATCAATGTGCATTTTAAAAAAATGTATCAAAATTGGTGAATTTTTGTGTAGCCATTTTAATTTTGAAGATGGAAGAAAATACACAACACTTTTGGCATATTATGCTTTGTTACTTCAAGAAAGATGAAAATGCAACTACTAAAAGGCAAAAAAATGGTTTGTGCAGTGTATGGAGAAGGTGCTGTGACTAATCGGACGTGTCAAAAGTGGTTTGTGAAGTTTTGTGCTGGAAATCTCTTGCTAGATGATGCTCCACAGTCAGGTAGACCAGTTGAAGTTGATAGCGATCAAATCCAGACATTAATTGAGAACAGTCAATGATATACCACACAGCAGAGAGCTGACATACTCAAAATATCTAAATTAATAAAGTTATTGGTGAAAATGAAAAACATTTCTTTTATTTTATGGAAAAGAATACATACTTTTTGGCCAAACCAATAGTACACTGCAGAAACTGAAATAAGAAGGCAGAGCATTACCTCATTTGACTTCAGTCAGGAACATGTGCATCAGGCAGCTTGAATATTTGGCCACTCTGCACACATCTGTAAGTGCCTATCAAAGAGCCATGAGAATTGGTTTTCAGATTACAAATAAATTTTTAGCAAGTAGGCAGATTTACAAATGTGGAAATCATGAATAGCATTTAACTGTATATTCCTTCTCTTATGTTTCCTTTCTCATTAAATGACACCACCATCAAACTAGTTACCCAGGTTGGAAGCCTCACATCAGCCTTCTTCCTGTGGTTTACCAGCTATATCCAATCTATCATCAGCTTGTACCTCCTAATATGTCAGATTATGGCTTTTTTTTTTAAAGATTTTATTTATTTATTTTTAGAGACGGGGGACGGGAAGCAGAAAGAGAGGGAGAGAAATATTGATGTAAGAGAGAAACATTGATTGGTTGCCTCCTGTATGTGCCCTGACTGGGGACCAAACCTGCAACCCAGGCAAGTGACCTGACTGGTAATCGGACTAGTGACTGTCAGTTTGCTGGATGATGGGATGATACCCCACCAACTGAGCCACACTGGTCAAGGCTCTGACCGATCTTTTTGTATCTAAATTTCCTTTTCTTCATTCTATTCATTACATTACAATTTTGGGTTTCTACAACTGTAACCGTCTTTAGAGTTGAAGTCTAAGTGTTTTAACACAGTTCACAAAGCCCTCCAGCCTTATCTCTTGTGGTCTTGCTCCCTCAACCCTGAAGTTCCAGCCATGAATAGCTTCTTCCCACTCATGGGATGCGTGATGCCTTCCTTCTTTGAACCCCTGTGTGTCTACAAGGAACATTTTTTCTCCCTTTTTCTTTACCTTGCTTATTCTTCTGACTTGTTCTTTAATTTTGTGTATAAATGTCATTTTTCTTTTTTGAGAAGTCTTCTCTGACATTCCTTCCACTCAGCGTGCGCTCACACACACCACCCTAATCTGTAGGTTTCTGTAGTTCATTTTAATATAGCTGCCTGTTTGTTAGTCTCCCACCATAGACTATAAATTCAGTGAGGGCAGGGACCATTCTCAGTGTCCATCACATGGTAACAAAGCACTTTATCTATGTTAAATGGTGTGTTTTTCTGTGATATTGTGTGTATTAATCATTATGAGGTCTTTGGAGTACTGTGATACTAGTGACATAATGACATGAAATGAAAAAATGATACCAACACATCTTTTCACTTCCTTGCTTATTATTTTATTTCTATTAGCTTATTCCATCAGCATGTGAGTTTTAAAATATATTGGTGATTAAAGGAATTTGAAGCTGAAGTGGCAAACCTCTATAGTTCTTCTATTGACGTTTTAGCCAATGGGCAAGCACTTCATCTGCTACTCAGCTGGGCAGGTCAGACCCCTACTTTTCAAATCTCATCTGTAAGCACCGAGTTGACAAAATTGGCAGAGGATGTAGAATAATCAGAGGTGGATTTAGTTAACAGCCTCTAGGGAAAATCTAACTCATTTTTGTAAATTAAGTAAGTTGTTTTTTTCTTATGTTTTTTTTCTATTGAATTATTATTTGAAAGGCAAGACTGTATCTAGTTTAAAATTAAGTAGAGGTTCATGCTTTTGTTTTTGTATAGAATTTCATCTTGTGGATTTTCCATCATTTATAACAAATAATGAAATTTGTATACTATGGTCTAATTAGAGAAAAGGCTTTCTCTAAATTCTCAGCCAGTGTATCTTGGCTCCAAAGCATGTTGAATATGTAACGTCACACCAGAATAATAAAGGGCCTTTAGGGCTGTTAACCTTAAAATGGAAAGCCCTTCAATGTGTACGGAATGTGATTGACATTTAATTATACCACCATGCCGTGCAATGGTGACAAGTGGCGAATGACTTTAACAAACCCACAGGCAGTTTCCACTTCTTATTTTTAACACAGAATCATTTGCTACCTCATTAACTTATGGACTAAGGAAGCCTTGAAATAGCTGTCTTAATGTTTGATTTTATTTTATAGGCAGAAAAACTCAGGTGTGTACAGTTATAATCACTTCAGCATTTTAAAACCTGTGTTTTCAAGTTACACCAGGGGTCAACAAATCACGACCCATGGGCCACATCCTGCCTGTTGCCTGTTTCTGTATGACCTGTGAACTAAAATGGTTTGTATTTTTAAATGGTTGGTAAAAATTCAAAAGAAGAATAATATTATATGACAGGTGGAAATTATATGAGATTCTAATTTCAGTGGCCACAAGTAAGGTCTGATTGGAACCCAGCCACACTGACGTCTACATTGTCTATGGCTGTATGTGCCTGCAACAGAGGGGGCAAGTAGTTGCAACAAAGGCTCTATGGCCAACGAAGCCTGAAAGTATTTGCTGCCCTACCCTTCACAGGAAACGTTTGGTCATTCCAAAGCCATGCTGTTAAGTTTACATGGTTTAGCACCTTAAGTCAACTTTCCCTATTCAAAGAAGTTATGCTAAATAAGATTCTTCAGACCTTTGGGAAGGTGAAGGACACTGAACTGAGTATTGCAGGAAGTTTATACTTTCTCACAGGGGCAGGGCTTTTACTTTCTTCATTCATTTTTTACTTAATTTTTGAACAAGCCCTTGCATTATGGGTATTATGTATCAGGTACTGTTCTAAAAGCTTTGTAACTCTTCTAAATCTTCCTAATCCCTATGTGTGGTTGGCATCTCTACAAATGAGAAAACCACAGCACATCTATTGGTGAAAGTTAAATAGTTAAGTAGTGGAAGTTAAAGTAATGAAAGGGAAGTTATATAACTAGTCATATGAGCTGTAGAGCTAGGAAGGGGTGGAGCCACGATTTGAATGAAATTGGCTGTTTCAAAATCAGTGCTCTTATCTACGTGTAATACTGTCTTTTCCACTCCTGTGTATTTAGAGAAGTCTTAAATTAAAACTAGACTTCAGTAATAGGGGAGCATCCTGTTTTAAAAGCATTGAAATTATATTTGTATTCTTGGGCTGCTGTAACAAACTGCCACAAACTGGGTGGCTTAAAATAAAACAATAGAAATCTGTTCTGTTATAGTTTTAGAGGCTAGAAGTCAAGAACCAGGTGTCAGAAGGCCATCTTTCCTTTCAGACTCTGGATAGAATTCTGCCTTGCATCTTCTCAGCTTCTGGTGGTGGCCATCCCTCCTCAGCATTCCCTGGTTTGCAGTGGCACCACTCCAGTCTCTGTCTGTGTCACCACATGATATTCGGTCTCTATCTCTGTGTCTTTTCTCCTGTCTTTTGAGAACACCAGTTTTATTGGATTAAAGGGTACCCTACTTTAGTATGATTGTATTTTTTTAAAGTATGGTTGTACATTAATTTAGCTAATTACATCTTCAATGACCTATTTCTAAATAAGGTTACATGGAGAGATCCTGGGAAGGATGTGAATTTTGAGAGGACACTGTTCCATTCAAACCAGTTACAGAGATCTTGAGGCAGCTCTTGTTCTCTAGCACCTCAAGTTTAAGCTCAGAAACCCCAGAAAAGTGGAAACTATGCACTAAGAATTTCCATGGCCTTCCAACCAACCCCCCTTTCCTCCCTCCCTCCCTCCCTCCCTCCCTCCCTTCCTTTCTGTGATAGAATATATTCTGTCTGGGAAGACTAATTACTGTTCTCAGTTCCTACCTTTCTCCTGCCTTCTTTGGCTCTTTGCTCATGATTCATTTTTTTCTGGACATTTTTCTTCTGGAATGTTCTGTAAGTTTTTTTAAAGAACATTTTCTCAACTCCTGCCTTTGAGAATGTTGGTTTGTCTCTATTCTTGTGAATTTGTGATAGTCAATTCAGAAACCAGCTTTGGTGTTTTGGAGGCTGAGTTCTAGTAGTTTCCTCTTAAGAGTCTTTTGTATCCATCACTATGGGATTTGTAAGTAAGGTTCAACAAATAGTAATACTTATTTTTTATTTTTTTTCTGTGATTATTATCATTGTTAAAATAGAAGATCTTGAGAAATGTGGGGAGGCCTCACTTCCTGACCTGAGAGCTTCTGTTTTCCTATGAAATACTAGAGTAATTGGTCCAATTGTGTCAACTCATTTCCTTTCATTTGTTCACAGGGTGCCCGGGAAACATTTGAGAACTATTACCGAAAACAGAGGCGAAAACAGGCCCGCTTGGTGCTCCAGCCTCCGTCTAACATGGTAGTATCACCACCTTTACTTTTCTCATGTTCTCACTTTTCTTTTCTTGTATCTTTTAATTATTTTGCACATATGCTTAAAATGTTTTTTAGTTGTTAGTCTGAGACCACTTTTTTTATTCTTGTTTATTCTATTATAGTTGTTCCAATTTTCCCCTTTGTCATCCTCTGGCCAGCCCACCCCCACCCCGCTCCCACAGTCAGTTCCCACACTGTTGTCCATGTCCATGGGTCATTCATACATGCTCTTTCATTAATCCCTTCCCCCTCTTTCCACTCTTCCCCCTCCCCTCTTTTCTCTGGCAGCTGTTAGTCTGTTTTATGTTTCCATGTCTCTGGTTCTCTTTTGCTCCTGAGTTTATTTTGTTCATTAGATTCCTCTTATAAGTGAGATCACATGGTATTTGTCTTTCACTGACTGACTTATTTCACTTAGCATGAGTCTCCAGTTGCATCCATGCTGTCTCAGAGTATGAATTCCTTCTTTCTTTCTGCTATGTAGTATTCCATTGTGTAAATATACCACAGTTTTTTAAATCCATTCATCTACTGATGAACACTTAGGCTGTTTCCAACACTTGGCTATTGTAAATAGCACTGCTATGAATATAGGGGAGCATACGTTCTTTAGAATTGGTGTTTCAGGATTCTTAGGGTATATTCCCAGCAGTGGAGTCACTGAGTCAAAAGGCAGTTCCATTTTTAGTTTTCTGAGGAAATTCCATACTGTTTCCCATAGTGACTGCACCAGTCTACATTCCCACCAACCGTGTACTAGGGTTCCCCTTTCTCCGTAGTCTTGTCAGCACTTGTTGTTTGTTGATTTGTTAATGATGGCCATTCTGACCTGTGTGAAGTGGTATCTCATTGTGGTTTTAATTTGCATCTCTCTCTGATGGCTAGTGATGCTGAGCATCTTTCATATGTCTCTGGGCCCTCTGTATGTCCTCCTTGGAGAAGTGTGTATTCAGGTCCTTTGCCCACTTTTTAATTGGATTGTTTGTCTTCCTGGTGAGACCACGTTGATGAATGTAAAAAAATACCAATTCCAACATCTATGTGTCAGGCATTGTTCTAAGTATCAGGCGTTGTTCTAAGTCTCATTTTGCCCTTACTTATGTGTCAGTCATTGATTTCTATGTGTCAGGCATTGTTGCAAGTCTTATTTTGCCCTCACTTATAACCCTAGGAGGTAGGTACTATTATTATGTTTACCTAATAGTCTTTGGAACTGAATCTTAAGAAATTCAAAAGCTGATATTAACTTTGTCTTAATGTAGCAAAACAGAAATAGTAACTTTTTTCTTCTTTGCTTCATTGCAGCATGAAACTTTAGATGGCTACAGGAAATACTTTAATCAAATTGTAGGGTAGGTATATGTGTGTGTGTATGTAAATTTCTATACTTTCAATACATAGATTTGTGAGACTTGGAAAAAATAAATCAAATTTTCATTGGGAAATTCTTTTTTTTAAATTCTTAAGGTAAGATTTAGTTTTTAATTTCTGATGATTTCAAAGAAATGGTTTCAATGTTATATTGCTGCAAAGGACTTTTTGTGGATAAAGGGCGAGAAACACTGAATTGTAGCCCCATTATATTTGATGTTTTGTTTCTCCATTCTTGGCAAGAGGGAACCAAATAATCAGTAAAAGTTGCCAGACTTTTTCTAAAAAGGCCAAATAATAAAGTATTTGGGGCTGACCATGCCATAAGTATTTTTTTTTTTTTGTCACAACTATTTAGTTCTATTGCAACGCAAGATCAACTATTAACAATATGTATACGAGTGGGCAAGTGGGCATGGCTGTGCTCCAATGAAACAATGTTCACAAGCACACACAGTGGGCTAGGTTCATCCTGGGGGTGCAGGGTTTGCCCCTCATCTGCAGTATCTGTGCTAGTGTGGGGTTGCAGTTCCCAGCTGAACATCCCAAATATAGGCATTTTATTCTAATTGCAAAATAATGCCTTTGCAGCTTAAAGAAAGGGAAATTGGATTGATCCATGAAATTTCTTTCATTTAAAGAAATTTCAATAAATTTGATTAGATTAAGATGGTTTCCATTTAATTGATAGTTTTGATTAAATATATCATGAATATTCCATATTTAAAGAATTGTTTTAATTAGTATGAATATTTAGGCAAGGTAGCTTAAAATATACTATAAATGCATAAAAATATAAAAGCCTCTGCAGAATGTTGTTTGCAGTTTTTTACCTTTGTAAGATACCTTTTTAATAGTTTGTTAGGAAAGTTCATATAAGGACAAGGATAATTACTTTCATATTTTCTGTGTTGGGTTCTTAAAATATATGTATTTCATATTTTATTGTCTCTTAAAGCCTATTGGTTTTTAAAAAATGTACTAATGGCCTGATGTTTTTAATATGATAAAATTAGCCTTCTTTTCCTATGAATATTTTCTTCCCTTTTAAATTGCTGGATAACACCGTTAACATTTAACAGAAATGTATCTCCAGTTTCTGTAAAAGTGGTTAAGAGGGTATCAGGATCAGGGGCATATTGCTAAGTCGAAGAAATCTTGATTTTATTTAGGATACCAAACAGCTTTCTATAAGAAAAAATGACTATTAACTTAGACTTTAATGGCAGCTCTTAATGTTTGTCAAACCTTGGAGATAGTATGTAAACTGTAATTTCTGACAGCTGTACTTTCTTTTTTCCTCAATCCTAGCTTTTTTGTGGTTGAAGATCATATTTTACATACAACCCAGGGCTTAGTAAACAGAGCCTACATTGATGAACTATGGGAAATGGCACTGTCAAAAACCATCGCAGCACTCCGTACCCACTCGGTATGTAAGGAGCCCAGAGAAGTTCTTACTTCGAGTTTACTGTCTGTGGTATTCAGTGTTTTACTGTTGTAAAGAATCACATGTGTGTCATTTGAAATCTGAGATCAGGGTGCCAGCATGGTGGGTTTTCCGTGAAGACTTTCTTTTTGGTTTGCAAATGGTCGCATCTTTATTATGTCCTCACGTGGTCTTCCCTCAGGTGTATTCTAGTGTCTCCTCATCCTTTTGTAAGGACCCAATCCCATCAAATTAGGGTCCTACCCTATTACCTCATATGATCTTAATTATCTAAAGCCCTGTCTCCAAATGTAGCCGCACTAGGGGTTGAGGCTTCAGCATATGAATTTCAGGGAACACAACATTCAGCTTGTAACATCTGATCTTTTCCAAGGTATTTTGAAGACTGCCATTGTCATATAATGATATGTATGCTAAGGTCTGTTTCTAAGCTCTGTAACACCCCCTTTCCCTTTCCTTCTCCTTGTGTGACTTGAATCAACATAACATTGTTTTGATCATTACACCTGAAATAGTATGGTTTAATTTTCTGTAGGACATGTATTCTCCAAAATTCTCTTTTTAAAAGATGCTGTCTTATTATTTTTCAAGAATAATTTGAGAATTACTTTGCCATATTTCTTCCACCTCTTCCCTCTCCCCCCATCTGTAAATTTAATTGGAAATAATAGATATATTTCAAAAATCTGGGGTTTTTCACCAGGAATATGTGTACTTTTCTCTTACTTACTTTCATGTCTTTTGGTAAAATATTTTATGTTCTCCATCTAAGTCCTATTTTTGGTGCTTTATAGTTTTTTTCAGGTGGTATTTTAAGGAAGGTTTTTTTCCCAATTATATTTATTAACTAGTATTACTGTTATTCTATGGAAATCTTTGATTTTGTTTGTTTTATATTTGTTCATTTCAGTGACTTTTACCAATTTTTTTTCCTGGGGAAAGCTGTTTGTTTGTTTGTTTGTTTTTAGAAAACTTAGATTTCTTCCAAACAATTTCTTTTACTTGAAACAGTGGTCTTAACTTTTTGTGTGTGACTGATAACGTTGGATGAATCCATGTGATGAATCTGTAGGGCTCTGTCAGCAGAACCGCATACTCTCTTCATCATGCAGTTGCTTTCCATGTCATTAGAAACAGGGCACTCTCCAAATGTGCTAATTAAAGTATACATGTATATGGAAAATTAATCTTAATGGAGTTTCTCCTTTTAGATCTACCATATGTTCTTTTGAATTAAAGAGTAAATAATAAAATGCCCTCCCCTGCCCCCACTGAGCATCAATCTACAGAGGGGGAGAAAGTGGGTTGGTTAGGTCTAGAAGTGGGTAGCAGGAGTAAGGATATAATGGCTCCAAGGGCACAGGTTTCTTTCTGAGGTGAAGAAAATGTTCTAACATTGACTGTATTTGTGTTTGCACATTTCTGCAACTATACAAAAAAACTACAAACCAATGAATTATATATTTTACATGGGTGACGTGTGGTATGAGAATTGTATCTCAAGGGAGCTACTCAAACATGAGTTAACATCACCTGCATTTACTCACTGAGCCATTCTATCTGTTATGAGACAAAATAGTTGATACCACAGATGTGAATTCTATTTCAAGACACTGTTTATTGCATTACATTACCCAGCAAGCAGAGCAAAATAAGAATGACCCAACCATCAAAACAAACTATATCGGAGTGCTTGTTATTTGTTTATGAAAAGTCTGTATTTTAAACTCTATTTAAAATTACTTTTTTTACTTTTTCCACTGAATTATTACTCATTACACAAGTTGGAAACATTTCAGAAGACATAATATTTCAGGTATTAATGTGTGTAATAGTCTCATGCTGATTTCAAAACAGTAAAGATCTTATACAGTATCTCACCTAGAATTCAAATTTAATAATATATTATAAGGATAATATGCTAATACAAAGAAGAGTTCATATCAGAAATGATTCAATATTAGATCTACTGATATAATTGCTAATATGATAATACTGAAAAGGTATTGTTAAGATTAAAAATTAGGGAATAGTATGACTCAAAAAACTTACATTTTACAGATATAAAATATTGCAGTTTTTATTAGGTGAAAAGTGTGTACTGTGATAGTGGTTTTGTACACACCCACATGCACATTCAAATCTGTTCCCTGTCACACACATAGTTTAAGTGTTTTTGAGTCAAAGGGTGTACTAAGCATATGTACTTCCAGGTCTCCTAGCCAAACTGTCATTGAAATAACATGGGGGGAAAGCAACTAAAGGGGGAAACTTGTCCAAGTACCATCTATAGGCTAGAAGTTTCAAAAAATTTCCTTCAACTTAGAAAGCAGATGGAATTAGAATAATGACTGAGCCTGAGAATAAAAATTACATCATGTATGGTAGGGTGTGGTTATTGTCAGAGTTGGAGACATTCTTCCGGAGGGAATATAGGAATACTCAAAGTTCAAAGTCAACAGATACAAGGAGCAGGAGTGGGCCTAGGATGAATCATAAGGGAAATTATTTAGAGGGTTGCTTTCTAGAACCCTTGGTCAGCCAGCTGCTTACCCAAATCATTTGACCAACCTTACTACATAAATAAGGAGGCAACAGAATGATTAGTGAAGTTCTCTGGTACTGCTTTGTGAACAAAGTGATTCATTTGCCCCACCGACTTACAAAGAACCTATATTCAGTTTCTTGGGAAATAGACTTAAAACTGTAGAGGATGAAACCCATGCCAGTCATTCATAGTAATCAACCTACTCCTTCATTCCGCAACATGAACAGCCAAGAGTCATAAAATATTCAGGAAAATCAATTACAGCAAATAGAATACAACAATAAACAAATAGAATAGCTATTCTTTAGCCAATATAAATAACTTATGTGTTTGGAGAAGAATTTACAAAGTAATAATCATTTTTCATTTTAGGAATATAGAAGGCTAGGTTATTCATACCAACGGTTCAGCTGAAAATATCTAACAGAGCTGCGTTATGGATGTATATCATATGAGATGTTCTTTAAGTCTTGGTAAGGATAGTAAGGACTTACCAGGTCAAACCCATGGGAAACAGGCCATCTGAGGAGACAGGCTCAACACTTCAGTTGCCTTTGCCTTGAGGTCACTTGTTAGTCCAGACAATTTGAACTTAAATTTTGACTGCCTTTTCAGCCCACCCAGGATAGAGATGGAAAATATGAAAGGGAAGTTAAGAAACATAGATAATTGATGTAGAGTTTTGGCTTTATCTAATAGAGAGAAAGGACAGTCACAAAGGAGGGGACTTTATTAATCGAAGAAATAAAAGAAAATTTCCCTGCAGTGAAGAAGGACTATGTAGTTAAATTTGAAAGGATGCATCCATCTTGGGTCGAGCAGGGTAAATGACAGCAGACAGTTTTTTCACATCTGAAAATATGTATTTTTTAGTTTGAAGGCAAAAGGAAGGCATTTTCTAACATATTAGGATTCAAAGTTTACATTTTACCTATCTTATTGGTGTTCTACAATGAGGAGTGAAAAATGAAAAAGAAATCCAATATGTAAGATGAGATAGGATGAAATACAATATGTTAAAAAGAGGTAAAAACTCATGGGTAAAGCTAAATAATTGATTGTTTATTTACAAAGTTTAATGCTGCTAAGAATACCTACCAAAGGAGGGGCTTAGTATTTAAAAAATTTACATGAAAACTCCAGATTATTTCAAGTAAACTAGTGAGCAGATAGTATATGATCACTTATTAATAACCACTATATAACATAATTTAAAAGACTCGACTGAATACAAAATATGAGAGGAAAACAAAAAAGGAAATAATTATAAATAGAAAACTTAAAATGGCTGGAATAGGTCCAAATATGTCAGTAATCATGGGAAATGTCAGAGTTAGAAAGTTTTTAGTTTGGTTACTAAGGGATATTCTTACATAATTAAGATTACCTTTAAAGATCAAACATAAAGAAAGTGGAGCAGGAATGGCAGTGTTCTGCAAGGCACATAGAACTGAAGTTGAAGATCATTAAATGGGAGAGGAGAGGTACATTGTGTATTAATATTAGTTTTAACCCACCAAAATGATAATAGCTTATTTATAGGAGACAAGCAAGCATAAATATGTATGAAAACAAAATTGTTAATAATAAGTATAGAAATTGATGAACCACAACATTGTGGGAAAATTTAACACACCTTTTTCAGGAACTAAGATATCAAGTAGAGAGTAAGTAATCAAACTATAATTAAGAGAATTTGAATAACAAAATCACCGAACTTTTAAAATAGTGACATATACATCTTTGTATCCTGCCCACAGAAACTATCTTCTATGTCATTTCAATTTTCAAATTTGTTGCTAAGAGATTATATATGGATCTTATTTGTAATCTGTATTTTCCTCTGTATTTATGTTTATTTTCTCTTTTGTAGTCCTTGTAGTTTTGCTTACTCTTTGTTGTTTAATCAGACTTGCCTAAGATTTGTCTATTTTATTGATTATATATATTTTTTTAGAAAATGAAGAAACATTTTTATTGAATTTGTCGGAGTCACATTGGTTAATAAAATGTTAGAGTTTACAAGTGTATGGTTTTTTAGTACATCATCTGTATATTGTGTGTTCACAACCCAAAGTCAAGCCTCCTTCTGTGACTGTCCCCGTTTACCCTCTTCCATCTGCCCTCACCCTCCTCGGGGATCACCATGGTGTTGTCTGTGTCTGCGCTTTTTATTGATTATATTTTTAAACTGAGCTTTTGGTTTCTTTGATCAAATCTTGTATGTGTTCTCTAAGTCATTAATTTCTGCTTTTAATTTTATCTTTTTTTTCTCTCATTTATATATGGTTTATTTTGGCCTTTTTTTGGCCTAGCTTCATGAGTTGAGAGCTTAGTTTCTTTACTTTTCATCTTTTGTGATTTTTAATATTTGAATATGAAGAAATATACTTATTTTGAAAAGGGCTTTAACCACCTTTCATAGGTTTTGATATAAGTATTCATTGTTCATTTTAAAATAATCTGCAGTATTAATTTAATTCTTCTATAACTGAAGAATTATTTAGAAGTATGTTTTTAAATTTCCAAGTGTTAAAAATGTAGGTCATGGCTTACTGGGGTTTTACCTTAAATCTGGTGTTGGACTCTTTCTTGAGAGCCTTCACCTGGTGAAGCAATAAATAAATCAAAATTTAGTTTTATTTTTAATAATTAAGATGTTTTCCTAATTTTATCTTATTTGCTTTAGTCTTACTGCTCTGATCCAAACCTCGTGCTAGATTTGAAGAACCTCATTGTGCTTTTTGCTGATACACTTCAGGTTTGTGACTTCTCTTTACATGTATTATCTAGATTAGAATTTCATCAACTCTAAATCTTTTCACTGTCTGCCTAAGCTTGGATAGTACCTTTCAGTTTTTAGTTGTTTTTCTTCTTTATCTAGAGCTAGATCTTTTTAGTGTTTCCTGATCATCACTGTGGCCATTTATATTCTCATGAATAGTTCCTATCCCCTCTTTTTCCTTAGAACAAATCAAGTAATTGAAGCAGCCACTACCTTAGTTTTCCAAATGTTCCTAATTCACATATAGTGCCTGTGGAACTGTAGAGTTTCTTAACTGCCATCTTAAATAATGATTATTGATTTGAACTACATACTATATTAATAAAATAGCATTAGAAATGTGAGTGGTAGCATTTTCAGTTTCTCTCCCTTCTCCTGATGGGTCTATGCATTACAGGCAGAGTTGTAGGGAGAGGTTAGCTGATGTTTTACCCTGCATATGTTGATTTTAATTTTCATCTTTTGTTTTTTTCTGACTGGATTAAATATTTTGGTATGTATTTTTTTTATTTCTTGAGAGATAAATACTAGATATTAGGTGGTAATGAAGGGCTCTTTATCATGGTTTCATGTAAATTGTTGGTGAAAGAACAAAGATATCTTTCAATGCTTAATCTTTCTCTTGTTACTAAAAAATAATCACCTTATAAAATGAAGCTAATTCCTTATTTTGTTTCAGGTTTATGGTTTTCCCGTAAATCAGCTTTTTGACATGCTCTTAGAAATCAGAGATCAATACAGTGAAACTTTGCTGAAGAAGTGGGCAGGTATTTTCAGGTGAGAAATTATTTATGTTATTGTGTGTGTGTACAATGCATAAGGTATGTTTATGCATAAGGTATGCATAATGCACAATGCATAAGGTATGTTTATGCATAAGGTATTTCAGATGCAATGGGCAGCAAGCAGGCTTTTGGATTCTAGCTATGATCCAGGTTATGAATGACAATAAAAGTAAATTGCAATGATGTCCTAATAAAGTTCCCAAGATATCCAGTGTCAGTGTGTTAGTGTCTGCCTTATGGGAGTCCCCAGATCCCATTGTGGCTTTTTTTTTATTCCCTTGAATAAAGAAGCATCTTGGTTCATGCCATGTATTTCATCTCTTGTCTTCTTATTCAATTTTTTGTTTTCTTTTTGGGGATCATGTCTAGTCTGTGGCTCATTTATAAGGGGGTGGTTTTTGAGCTCTTTTGAATAGTTTCGCTTCTTTGGAGTCATTTTTTTTAATCTCTTTTGAAACCTCACTCATGTGATTCCTCATCTTTTTCCTTCATGCATAGAGAAGAGGCTTATTACAGCACAATATTTGAAGCATATTATTTAAATAGTTGTTGTAACATGAATACAGCAGTAAGAAAGTTATTTTGTTACACTTCCCACTTAACAAATGTCTCCTTGGACTGGCATATGCCCCATGTTGTTAACTTGAGTTTCTTCTCCTTTTGCGTCTTTACTCCATTAGCCAGTGAAGTGATCTTCCTGCTTACTGCATGATCCCTTCCCCAGATCAGCTCACCTTGTTTTCAGCTTCCTACAGCTTTAATGGCTTACATTGCCCCTTCAGTCTTAACTCTGTATAGTGTATGAACATAGCTCTAATAATCACATAGCAAAACTCATTTGTATATCAATATAAACATTTGTATTTCTAAAGAACAAGGTTATCTAATGGTACAATTGTATTTAATGAAAAATATCTCTACAGGAACCTTGAAAATTAATTACATGTTATAGTCATGTCTTAAGAGCATCTAATCTGATGTCTTCATAAATTTCTGTTTTGATTTTGATGGCATGATTTTGCTTTTATAGAACCCCCAGTCTAGTTAAGGAGTCAGTACCTAAGGAGTAAAAATAATCGTGCTTACTATGGAGCAGTAGATGAAGTAAATGAACATAATTTGGACTTATTATGGAAGTTACTTTTTCTTATCTGCCAATTTTGAAAGAAGAGCTAGTATAGGCTTAAAGAACATAATCAAATTTATCTTTAAAAAAATTTCATTTATTTATTTTTTTGGAAAGAGGAGAATGGGGGGAGAAAGAGAGGGAGAGAAGCATCAGTGTGTGAGAGAAGCATCTATTGGTTGCCTCTTGCATGCCCGCAACTGGGGACCTGGCCTGAAATCCAGGCATGTGCCCTGACCAGGAATCAAACTGGTGACCTTTAACCTACTGAACCACACCAGTAAAGGCTCAAATATATCTTATTTAAAAATAAAAACAAATGAAACTCCATTACCTTTTCCAGAGCACATTATTCTTTTATTGTTAATTTACTTGCCTTAAGGCTTCATTATATTGCCTTAATTTTCTGTCTCATTTGTAAATCTCAAATACTGTGAGATCGTATTTATAGTTGTGTTCTTTTTGTTTCAGAATGTAGTTTTTTTTTTTCTTTTTAAGTATGTCCTACCTGAAGCCAAATAGCTATGTGGTAGAAGGAATACACTAGGAACTGGGAAATGTTTATTTTGGGTTGTGGAATATACATACATAACCATTGGAATTCATCTGAAAATTACTTGTGTTTACTATAGTCATTAACCCATTCTCCCCCTCCCTCTCTTTCCCTCCCTCCTTTCCATTCTTTCTTTATTTTCTTTTCCTTTTTTAAAAAATTGTTGTTCAAGTACGGTTATCTCCATTTTCCCCTCACCACTCCCCCCCCGCCCCCCCATCCATCCCCACATCCCACTCTCAATCCTATCCCCTTTCGGCTTTGTCCATGTGTCCTTTATACATTTTCCTTGATGACCCTTTCCCTTTCCCTCTCCCCGTTATCCCCTCCCCCCTCTCCTTCTGGTTATTGTATGTTCTTTATTTCAGTGTCTCTGGTTATGTTTTGTTTGCTTGTTTGTTTTGTTGATTATGTTCCACTTACAGGTGAGATCATATGATATTTTTCTTTTATTTTCTTTATAGAAACATACTTGATTCCGACAACTATAGTCCCATACCAGTAACAAGTGAAGACATGTATAAAAAGGTGGTAGGACAATTCCCATTCCAAGATATTGAGCTGGAAAAGGTAAGGAATACTTTAAAATAGACTTCTCTGTTTGGTTTGGCATCCTTTACAAGCTTTCATTGTATCAGTCTCATTAAAAGCATTACCTCTAACGCAGTGGGTTAGAACTAGAACACCTTCAAAGGAGGCTTTGGGCTTAGAATGGATTTCTCTTTGGGGAGTCAGTAGATAGCTTTGGGGTCGTTTAAACACCTGTGAGGTATTTGTGGGATTGAAGTATTTGGTTTACACTTCAAAATACTTGCTTTTATTATACCCTTTGGATATTTTCTCCCTACAACACAGTAAAATTTACCTTTTGTGCTGTATGATTCTGTTGGTTTTGACAATGCACTGAGTCACATTATGTACCACCGCAGTAACGACACAGACCGGCTCCATCGATCCCCCAAACTCCCTCCTGCTGCCCTGTTTCAGTCAGTCCCTCCTCCCACTCCCAGCAACCACCAGTCTGGTGGATGTCCATGTACTTTTGCTTTTTCTTGAATGCCAACATTATTGGAATCATACAGTATGCAATCTTTTGAGACTGTTTTTTTTTTCACTCAGCATAATGCTTTCATAATTCATCCAAATTGTTGTATGTTACTAATAGTTCATTCTGTTTTGCTGCTGAGTATATATCACAGTTTATTTGTAACTTTGTGTTTTGGAGGACATTTGAATTATTGTTTATTTAAATTTATATCTTTTTAGTATTAGGAAACTTGCAAAAATACTTTCTTTTTTTAATCTTTTTTTTAAGATTTTTTAAAAAAATTATCTTTAGAGAGGGAAGGGAGGAAGATAGACAGATAGATAGATAGATAGATAGATAGAGAGAGAGAGAGAGAGAGAGAGAGAGAGAGAAACATCAATGTGCGGTTGCTGGGGGTCATGGCCTGCAACCCAGGCATGTACACTGACTGGGAATTGAACCTGTGACACTTTGGTCCACAGCCCATGCATGCTCAATCCACTGAGCTATGCCAGCCAGGGCCCAGAAATACTTTCTTAAATTGTGGTTGTTAAGCAGGTAGCTCACAATGTAGAAGAAAATTCTTTTTGCATTTTAATTAATTTGCAATTATCTTTAATGTGTGTTCATTTATGATTTGTTTTCATTCTTGCATTTACAGCAACCATTTCCAAAAAAGTTTCCTTTCTCTGAATTTGTGCCAAAAGTTTACAACCAAATTAAAGAATTTATCTACGCCTGTCTAAAATTTTCAGAAGATCTTCATCTAAGGTATAGTATGATACAGTGGAAATGCAAGAGATACTGAGATTGTGACTATATACATAAATATCTCAAAAAAGTCTTGATATCCTATCAGCTCTGATTTGGAAAATCTTAAATATTAGCCCTTCACAGCATGGCACTACTATATTTATATAGTCACGGTGAAAGTGAATGTTGGAAACTACTGAATATCTTGTTTTTGTTTATATTACTTAGCTTATTCTCTACTATTCATTTTGTATCTTAACACTTTCTATTAGTGATAATTCATTAGAATAGAATAATATAACATACTACTTTTGACCTTCCATTTGATGAAATTTTAAGGTCAGTAGGAGTGTAGCAGATAAAACCCTTTGGACATACCCCTCTTTCCAAATGTTCTCTGGACTTGTTAAAGTCTCCCTATCTCCTTTACTTTATAATTAATTATTTAACTAACATATATGGAGCCTATTACTATTCCAGATACATCCTGCTTTTTGGGAATGCAGAAGTAAAAGGTGCAGTTTTTTGCCCTTAGATATTGTCAGCATCTACTGAGGATAATAGACATGAAGATAGACATGTAAAATATACCAGGGTGAGTGTTGTAATTCATACAGTGTACTTGAAACACCTAGAAGAGCACTTCACTCATCTTAAAGAATTTGAGGGAGAATAGTCATGATGACCAGCTCACTAAAGGGACCTACTTCTCTCGGGAAATGATACTTCCTTTCACCCAAATCAGGAACCTGAGAGTCATTTTCAACTCCAATTGTCTATTAACAACTCTTTAAAAATAGTTTTTTATTTTTAAATTACAGTTTACATACGATATTATATTAGCTTCAGATGTATAATCCAGTAGTTAGACATTTATATAGTTATTAAGTGATCACCCCAATACATCTAGTCCCCATCTGATACCATGCGTATTTATTATCATATGGACTGTACATCCCTGTGGCTGTTTTGTAACTATCAATTAGTACTTCTCAATCCCTTCACCTTTTTCAATGCCCCACCCCCAAAATGGAAACCATCAAAATTTTCTCTGTATCTATGAGTCTGTTCCTAATAACTTTCATTCTTAAAAACAAAGTTTCAGGCATTGATCTAAATTCCTGTAAACACTTCACAAATATGTTACTAAATCTGTAAAATGCAAAACAGCACTTACCTATGGGACCCTAGGAAGCATACTTCAGTTTTGCAGAAGAGGAGAGTGGGGCAGAGAGTAGATAGTTTCATCATGGTCATGCAGGGAGTAAGTGCTGGGGCCTGATGAAGATCTCATTAGCATCAGTATTAACAGAGCAATCACTGCCATGTTTAGGATTCTTACTCTTTGGTAGTCATTCTGTTAGTATTTTACATGCTTCATCTCGGCTAGTTGTCATAATATTTCTCTGAGTTAAACCCTAATTATTCCTATTTAACAAATGAGGGCAGTGCTCATTTGTAAATGAGCTTCCTTAAATCTAATTGGTGACTGATAGTATGAATTTTTTCTTTCTAGCTCTTCCTTTTTAAGTTCTCTCTTCACAATGTGGCTGTTTTAATTTACACTGTAGTCATATTTGACCTGGACTATTTAAACAGTCTCCTAATCGTTTTCCTATCTCTAAGTTTATTTTTCCAGCCATCTATCTTTTCTTTGCTGATTGTATTCTGTATGCCCCCTAGAGTCGCTTTGGTCATTTTTCAAAAATCAAATCTCATTTAACTTTTGTTCTTTTCACCTTCTCAGGGATTCCTTGTGGCCTGTAGGATAAAGTGTGCTCTAGCCTGTCACATTTCTCCATCTGCCTCCCCCCATACCCCCGACCTACTCCCCCCACACCCTTTGCAGGTTCATACCCCAGGGTGATTTCCATCACACCATGCTTCAGTCATACCGGCCTTCCCGCTGTTTTCTGATCAAAACATGCTATTTCATACCCCTCTGACTTTGCTCATGGCTCTTCCTCTACTTCAAACCATGTTTCCTTGTCAGTGCTCTTGACTGGCTTCTAACTGTCCTTCAAAATGCAGTTAAACATGTGCTGAATGAAGCCTTTTTGACCACTTCTATTCCTAATGGAGTTAATTTAATGACTCCTTTGTGCTACTTCTGTACCCTATGAATACTCATCTTAGGTTCTATTGCTCTACTTATATTTACGTGTTTCTGTATGAGTCAGACTGTAGGTTTCTTTCTTTATCAGTTAATTCACCATACATTATGAGTAATTATTATTTATCAGATGGTGGTTGGTAGGAAGGTCATTAAGACGATGAAAAAAATGGTCCCTGTGGTTAAGGAGTAACTGCTCTGATTGAGGAACTGAACAATTGGTGCTAAGTGCTGTGAGGGAGATACATAGGGCCAATTTAGTAACCAACTCTGAGACAAATTGAGGATGTCAGAAAATGCTGTTTGAAGGTAGAAACATTGTATATTTTGTTTAACATGTTTTCCTGTACCCAGTTCAGTAAATTAAAAAAATAAATGAGTGACTAGAATGTATAGTATGCTAGGCAACTCTGAAAATAAGCCTAACTGGAAAATAGGTTGAGTAACATGTTTGATAGCCATTCTTACTAAGTCAAAAATGAAACATGGGGTTTGTACAGTTAATTTGTTCTTTTCTCTGAGAATGAGATTAATTTCATAGACGTGTTCTCTTGGAATGAGATTATCTTTGGGATTTGTAAACTAAAACTTCTTTTTTACTCCCTTTGTCCTGGACTGTTCCCTTCCACAGTCGTCTCCAGGGTAGAGTTAGGTATGTTACATACAGTATGTACATTATTACAAGTATATTGCATAGTGATTTTTTCTATCCTCTTTTGGAGGAAAGGTGCTATGGTAAAGGGATAATGTGAGTAAATTGTTCAGAAGTCTTTTTCTTACTTGAATATATTGTGTTTGTCTGAAAATTTCCTTTGATATGTTTAACATTGACAATTGACAATTTAAAATATACATTCAATTTGAGATTTTTCTGCCTTTTACTCTTTGGTTGCCATGTACCTTATTTGCTGGACTACATTTACCTGTAACCTATAGTGACAGAGATCATTTCGACAAATGTAGCCGTCATGGGGGGAGATTATAATATGGGTGTGAGCCATAGTATATAAGAAAACAATTAGTTCTCTTAAACACAAGGCTTTCAAAACAAAAGAACTGTTGTATTGATATTTTTATGAAGCTTCAAGGACACTTATGTTCAAATCAAGCTCTCATTCTTTTTCTGCAAGCATTTTCACTTTCACATTAGATAAAAATCTGAAAGAATTATAAATATTGAAAAATATGTAATTATGAATTCTGAAGACACAGAATTCTCTTGGAAGGAAAGTTCTTTTTTAAAACAGTAAATAAGTGCCATTTCTATAGTAAAATAATGCTCTAGCATTTGCACTTAACTTAAAAAAGGAAGAATACACACATATGTATATACAGATATTTTTAAGTTATTAGAATTCAATCTCTGTAAAGAATTTGGGAGATATAGAATAGCACAAAAAAGAAAAACTTACAAGACCCCAAACTACTACCTAGTGATAACCACTATACATGGGAATTTTTTCTCTTAGTCTTTTTTCTGTGTGAATACATACACACAGCACTTGTCTTTTTTTAAAACAAGTTACTAGGAGATACTTCCACTTCTGTTTGTAATGCTGAAAACTAAAAAGTATTGCTTTCCCCCTGACAGTGAAAAAACAAAAACAAAGCAAACTACAAAACGAAAACATTTCTGGAACCCATCAGGGAGCTGAAGTTACAGGATGACCAAACACCCTGCAATCCCAAACTAGACTGCCCCACCACCCCTAGCCCCAGGAGAGAGTGGCAGGGTACACTACAGACTCCTGTGCGGAGCAGGGAAGAAGGGCATAGCAATGATATGGTTGAGAAAGTAGAAAGTAATTACATCTTAATGGATCACTCATACCTTAGTCGGAGCTGGCATGTTAGTACACAGCCCCTACTTGTGTGTCCCAGATCCAGAAGGAATTTATACTTACTCGTAGTTCTTTGCAATGGACCTCCAGCACATGCTCATGAGAAAGATTGGGAGCTGGCTAAGAGATCAGAGAGAATGACCCATGATTTTGCAGGCATAGAGAAGGGGATCAGCCACTGCTGTGAAAAGGGCACAGAGCCCCACCCCTCTGGCTTGGACCCCTCACTCATACTGAGTAAAACCTTTACAGCACTGGGGGAAGGGAAGCAAACTCTGTCTCTCTGCAGGGCACAGGAAAAGACCCACTATTGCTACAGCAAGGACAGAAGAAAAAAAAGTCTTTTTACCCAAGGGATAATGGTGGAAAACAGTCCTGGGCCCAGGATCTTATACCAAATACCATTAGTGGTCTTCTAACAATTGGAGAAGGCACAAAACTGCACTTAATTCCGCACAGAGACAAAGCAGAGTTTGGTTGTCACTGGAAGGAAGGGCAGGGAAGTTGAATAAGCTCCACCCCTTAGCACCAGGCACACAGGACCTACCTAAGACTGATCCTGGGCAGGACAACAGAGGAAGTCCTTCAGTCTTTACTAATAGTATAACCAGAACTAAATAATCTGCCACTGGGCGATGGGCAAGAATGCAGATTTATATAGATATAGATATATCAATTCTGTATGGTAGGCATACAGGTATAGCCAAAAGCTGTGGATGATGCAGAAACTTTATAAAGAACCTTCTGGGACCCGAGCACCCACGCGAGGCACATGGTAGCATTAGAAAAATTTGAAATCTATGAGGCACTGAAGATAAACATAGCAACAACAAAAGCCAAAACCAGTTGAACTCCTGCATGAACTAATGGCCCAATGAGAGAAGAGACATAGTCATGTCCAAGTGTAAATGCTGTTACCTCAGCCTCTACTGTTTTAGTTACGATATCCAACATTCAATTAAAAAAATGGGATGCATACAAAAATGCAATTAACAACTCATTGTCAAGGTACCATAAAATCAACAGAACCAGACTCAGAGATGACCCAAATGACAGAAGTATTG